CTTTTTCAGCATCCAGTGAGATGATCATGTGATTTTTTCTTTCTCAGTTTGTTCATATGGTCAATTACATTGATGGATTTTCATATGTAGAACTATCCATGCATGCCCTATTTGATCATGGTAGATGATTTTTCTTATGTGTTCTTGGATTCAATTTTCCAGTATTTTATTGAGTAGTTTTGCATCAATGTTCATGAAGGTTATTGGTTTGTAGTTCTCTTTCTTAGTTGTGTCTTTGTGTGACTTGGGTATCAAGGTTATTGTAGCCTCCTAAAAAGAGTTTGGCAATGTCCCTTGTGCTTCTATTTTGTAGAACAATTTGAGGAGTATTGGTATTAGCACTTCTTTGAATTTCTGGTAGAATTCTGCGGTGAAGTCATCTGGCCCCGGGCTTTTTTTGGTTGGGAGACTTTTGATGACTGCTTCTATTTCCTTAGAGGTTATAGGTCTGTTTAAGTTGCTTATCTGTTCTTGATCAATTTTGGTTAAGTGATAACTGTCCAGAAAATTGTCCATTTCCTTTAAATTTTCCAATTTTGTGGAGTACAGGTTTTCAAAGTATGACCTGAAAATTCTCTGGATTTCTTAAGTGTCTGTTGTTATGTCCCCCTTTTCATTTCTGATTTTGTTAATTTGCATGATCTCTCTCTGCCTTTTGGTTAATTTGGATAACGGTTTGTTTATTTTGTTGATTTTTCTCAAAGAACCAACTCTTTGTTATATTGATTCTTCGAATTCTTTTCTTAGTTTCGACTTTATTGATTTCTGCCCTCAGTTTGATTATTTCCCAGCGTCTGCTCCTCCGGGGTGAATTTGCTTCCATTTTTTCTAGAGCTTTCAGCTGTGATGTCAGATCTCTGGTGTGGGTATTCTCTAGTTTCTTCATGTGAGCACTTAGAGCTATGAACTTTCCTCTTAGTACTGCTTTCAAAGTGTCCCATAAGTTTGGGTATGTTGTGTCAACATTTTCATTGAATTCTAAGAAGTCTTTAATTTCCATCTAGGAAAGACTCTCAAATTCATGCTTCAAACATTGGACACATGGAACCTATTGGACAATCTGATTTTTATCCCAAATTTAGTATAAAAGGCCTTGAATTATGTTTCCCCCCTTTCTCTCATTTGTTTGTTTATTTGTTTGTTTTCTGAGATAGGGTTTCTCTATGTTGCCCTGGATATCCTGGAACTCATTCGAAAACCAGGCTGTCTTAGAACTCAAGCGCCACCACACCCAGCTTCTCTGTTTCCTTTCAATTGGACCAGAAACAGTTATTTCATATATTGACTCTATTCTTCATTATTTTCATTAAACTGACCATTCAATTGTTTTGTCCTCATTTATTTTACCCATACATTCTCATTATGTTATGTGTTTCTTTCTTTGGAGTGTCATAAGGCTTGGGTTTTGAGTTCATGGTCTAGGCCCTGTATGTAGGCCAAGTTTTTCTACATATTCATTGGTATCTGTTAGACTGCTTTAAGCAGACCCCTCCCCACTTTATCTCTCTCTGCCTTTGCCCCAAGAGCCTTCTTTTAAAAGTATTATGTTGTGTGACTTTTGGGAACAACAGTGCACCTCCAGTGTCATTTAGAAGTGCCTGTTCAATTTTCCGTTTCTGTCAGGAAGACTGCATTATTATCTGTGCTAGCTTTCCTCCTCGACCTCCATGCATATCTCATTTAGAGTAATAATTACCCAAACTATTGTGTATTAAAGTGTGTGTTATGAAAGATAATATGAGGAGGCTTTGAATTTTTTTGTTGTTGTTTATTTTCTAATCTTTGACAGGACACATCTTAGATGAGATCTTGTGCTAACCAAGGAATAGCTTACAGTGATTCATAGTCAAAATCCAAAGTTTTGTACAAAATAGAGTTAAGAAAATTGGACTGGAGTCATGGAACAGAAGCATCTGAATAATCATTTGTAGAAATAGAACATTACCAATGCTCTACAGAGGAGGGGGTGTCAACTGTGTACTTATCCCAATAGGAACAGTGGCGTTGATTTACATTTAATGCTTTTTAGACTTTCCATACTTCAGAAACTTTTTTTTAAAATGAGATTCATTTCTCACATCTGCCTGGTGTCAAGAACATGTTTCTATTTTTTTTTATGCCATGTTGGTAATAATCAACATTTTAAACAGCATGTTCTCCTCAATGCACCATACCTTCCTTACTTAGGTATGTCTTTTCTTCTTGTAGACTTGAGGTTCCTTGTCACCAAAGCTTGAAGACTTGAAGTTGAGCTCATCTTTCTCTGCATTCATTCCTTTTTCAATTGTTTTATGTTTATTATATACTTATAATAGGGGTCTTGCTGTGTTGTCCATGCTGGCCTCAAAATCCTGTTCTCAAGTGAACATTCTGGCCTCAGAATGCAGAATTACCATTGTTACTGCACTGTGTCACCACTTCCAAATTTAATTTATCTTTATGATTATCACATTGTTTTCTCTCAGTGGGACAAAGAAAATGGATTTCAGAGCAGAGAAATCTCCCATGAGACTTCTTGTCTGCTTTGGAGTATCCCTGCCCATCACTGGAAGTGTTCTTCGAAGGATGAAGGCCTGGTCCCTTCTCAGGATATGAGAGCAGATCTGATCACTTCTTATAAGACAACATAGAAAGCAAACAGAGGCAGTTTGAAATAGTATCTGCAGGAATACTCTTTTAGATTCATTTATTTGAAAAAGAAGACTTCTCATATATAATAATTCATCAATGATAGGATATGAGTTTATTATACAAATGTTACTCACTCTTAGTCACTCATAGTAGGTAAGCGATGTATACACAAAATTTGAAATGAAAAATAACAGTTATATTATCATCTCCCAAAATTAAGTACATCCAATCAGATTTTAGGCTCCATATGAGGAAAACTATAAAATTCTGATAAAGTTCAAATATGGGTCAATAAGTGGAGTTATATTCATGCTCAGAGATAGAAAAAATACTGTCAGCATTCAAATTCTCCTTAATTTTATCTGTGTATCCAATGAAATCTCATTGAATAATCTCACTAAGCTAATTTACAGATGCTTTAGTTTCCTTCCTATTGCTTTGATAAATTACCCTGACCAAAGCAACTTAGGAACTAAGGGGTTCATTCTCACTCACAATTCCAGAGGAAGGAGCCTTCCATGCTAGACAAAAACCTGGCATGGGGGGTGGGGGGCAGGTTGCGGGGATGGAGGCAGGCATAGGAAGCTGGCTGGCCACTTTTCATCCTCAGTCTGGGAGCAGAAAGAGCAAACAGGCGCTCCCTCCAGTGACCTCCTTCCTCCCACAAGGTCTTCTCCACAGTGCCAGCATTTCAGGAACAAGAAGAGTGCGAGTACATGAGCCTGTGAGGGACATTTCACATCCAGACCCACTACAGTGAGTGGGAAAACATAGTTCAAAAATTAAGGATAAGGAAAAAGTTTGAAGGCAACATTATCTGGCTTCAACATTTTTTTTTTAAAGCTTCGGGGATTGAGAACATATGGTATTTATAAACAAATAGATCAGCAGGAGAAAATAGAGAAGCCAGGAATAGAACTAAGGTTAACATTGTTAATTGTTTACAGTACAAAATCCAACTGGATCACACATTCCTAATTTCAGAGTATTTGTAATTTTCATTCATTAATACCATTCTTAGAGGATATTTCATTGTCACATGGCAAGAGACAAGTGTTCAGCACACAACTTAAGAAACAGACAGCTTCAGGCTGCAACCTTAGCCGCACTTGAAGTCTTCTGAAAAACACAAAACATATACAGTGGCATTTCCATGAAGTCTCTTTTCCCTTTTGGAGTCGTGAAATGCTTATGAAATGATTTGAACTTGTAAATTCAGAGGAGAATGCAAAGGGTAGTGAGTCAGATTCTTCTGCTCTCCCACGAGGGCCATGGAGTTCAGTAACCCCTGCAGAGCTCTCCCTGGCAAGACCATGGAGCCTCCTCGCTCTCACGGCTGCTTTTAACAAGGATGCCCCGACATGGCTACTGCTGCCACCACCATTGTCGTCAGAATCATCATCATCATCTCAGGTCTAGGACCAGAATCATGACAACTGTGGGTGGGGATGGGGTGGGGCCAGGCTCACTCTAAAGTACAGAAAGAGAAAAATAAGAAAACCAAACCACTACTAGAAGACTTGAATAGCAGCAAATAATATTTCTGCTGTTTCTGAGGCTCACTCTGCTGTCTAGGATGGGGTGGGAGCTGGGCACTGAGGTGTCTTTCTGTAGTGCCTCAGTTTGACAGGCTTCATAAGCCCACTAGATCAGTGCAGTGGATCCTTTAGAATTCCATGTTCAAATACAGGTGAACACCGAAGAACCTAAAAGATGACTTTTATGAGTATAAAATAAATAGGTCAAATATTTTATTTAGCTCACTGTCATTTCAGAAAGTAGTAAGAAAATAAATGTGATCAAAAGAGTATTTGATAGCTCAATGGTGGAGAACTTGCCTGCGTACCTTGGGTTCCATCCTCAGCATGTCTACTTCCCTTGCCTTCTCTAAGGAACAGGGTATGTAGTAATGCCAGAATAATAAAGCTTGGTTAGTTCTGAATCACCGTGATTGACAGTATATAAAAGATCTGAAAACACCAAGGATTCTTCGATTCCCATATGTTTGTTTAATTTTTACTGTGACTGAAACTCTTTGAGTCAAGTATATACCCAAGGACTCATGTGTATAAAAACAGCATATAGAAAGTTAATTATTTACAGCTGTGTTTATAATAGCTAAATTTGAAAATGATGCATGCCCATCTACAGAAAGTAGATACACAAAAGATACTATGGTATAGTTGTCAAGATGAATTAGCTAGAATTACAACTGTGGTTGCCAGAGGAAAAATCTCAAATTTAATATTGAGTGACTAAAGTACGTAATAAGACGAGAAGTACACTTTGCAATTTTTGAAACTTACATTATATTATGTGTATTCATTGGCATCTCTTGCTAGACAAAAACAGTTTGTGGCCATCTCTACTATAGAAATAAAGGCAATAAAATTATAGGAAAACAACTAAGGGGCTTCCCCATTTCTGTAATGAATTATTTTAAATAAAAAACATGATTCACATATCACACAGTGCTCATATTTGATCAAGCTGGAAATTTGGGTTCTTGAGTGTATGTTTTCAATTTCATACCAGTATTCCATGATGGCATATATAAAATGTATGTGTACATTTAGAACTACTTACACATTTCTCAGTATTAATAAAATGTGCATCTCAGGAACATACATAAATAAGCATACATCTGAGTGTATATAAGCATACACATGCACACGTGTGAGTATTGCATATTTGAAGCACTGATGCAGTCAGTCCCTGATGTTTTTCCTGAGGGACTAGGTGTTAGGTTCAAAGGGTATTTTAGCTGTATCTGTTAGATTTCATTAGGCACAAAACATGCTAGAGAGCTTCCAGGCTTTATAGTTACTTTTTTTTTTTAAGAATATGTGTGATAAACTGATTCCTTTCACTATTACTTTTCTAGCTTTTGATGGAACTTATTTTTTGTAATGTCTACATGTGTACATACTTGATATGTTTATGTAGGTATGTGTGCATGTGTGTTATGTAGAGGCTAAGAGAACAATTTTGAGTTTTGTTCCTCAAGGTGCTTTACCTCTTCTTGAGATAGAGTGTCTCTTGGGCCTTGGATTAGCTAAATGTGCTTGACTAGCTTGACAGCAAGCCCCAGGATTCACATGTGAACATTTTCACATGGTTTCTGGGTGTCAAGTTCAGCTCTCTGTACTTGGAAGGCAAGCCCTGTGCTAACTGAGCTCTGTCACTTCAATCTTGAAAAGATACTAAGGATTTGGCTACAGTCTGGAGCTTATTGTGCAGAAGATACGTTTGGAGTCAGCAAAAGTTTGGTCAAGTTACTTTCTTGGTTTAGCAGATGAGTTCACTGTGGGTGCTGTTTTCTCTTTTTCTCCAGAATCCAAGTCAATGACCAGATTGTAGAAGTGGATGGAATCAGCCTGGTGGGGGTCACACAGAATTTTGCAGCAACTGTTCTGCGAAATACCAAGGGCAACGTCAGGTAAGTCTGAGGCTTTCTAATGAGCAGCTTGGTAACTTTGTACTTTATGGATGGCAATTCCTCCATAGATATTTATAATTACAATGAAAATTTTGTCTGCATACTAAAAGAGTGGGAACAGGTCTGTTGCTAAGCTGTATGGTGTACCTTATGGTTAACACAGTGGAATTGCCATGGCAATGGAATTCCTAGTCACCACCTCAGTAAATAGTAATTTCCTTCTCAATTCCTTTTAGCAAAACCAGTTTTGGAACAATTGAAACTGAAATGGATGTTCACACCCCAGGGGCATGCATTATTATACAAGTAGACTGAATAATTTGAGGCAGTGCATTTTAAGAATCTGTTCATTGTTTTTAAGAGTCTGCCAGAATCTATCTTTGGTGAATTGTATCGTTCCTAACTTAATAGGACAGAGGGTACAATCTTCAGGCCTTGGAATTTACATCTAGTACTCTGGTTGTAACAAGTATGACTGTTAAATAAGAAAACCATCTCACCCAATTCTGGTTGAACTTTGAAATCAGTTTTATTTAATTAAAATTTCCTTTTTGTGAAAGCACTGTAAATATGTTGTACTTTGACAAAGTCTCATGAATGAACACTTTAAGGAGACACAATTTAGTGAGTGTAACTGTGAAAGTAGCTCAGTGCTCCCCTCGTTGAAATGAAACTGCTGGTCATTGTGAAATACTGTTGAGTGACATCACTGAAAAGAGGACAGCGGCATCCTTGGGCGGCATATTTGATATTGTATAAGCACGAGTTCCAGCTTTCGGCTTTGTCAGTAGGCAAGCATCACATGATGCTGAAAGGATGTCTGAAGGAATACAATGGGAACAAATGTGGACATGGGGTCTGGTGTTTCTACTCACAGTCTTCAGAAAGGCAGGCAAAATGATGTCATGGAATCCCTGCCATGATGCTCTCTGGCTCTGTGGGCTCCTTAGTAAATACGATGGCTGTTCTTCAGATTGCCCTGTGGCATCCACACATCACTTCCCCACGTGGTACAAGACTTGCTTGGCAGCTGCTCATTGGACATCAGGACAAACTCAAAGACTAAATAGGATGCCCATTCAACTGGTAAGAATGCATCTCAATTGGAAGAATTTGAAAGGACAGTAGGTCACACCTATTTTGTTTGCGTCCTCTCTATTGGTCAGGTCGTTAGTGTTAATATTTCAATACATGAGAAATGGCAAGTATCTTCTTTTTTTGTTTGTTTTTGTTTTTTTGACAGGGTTTCTCTGTGGCTTTGGAGGCTGTCCTGGAACTAGCTCTTGTAGACCAGGCTGGTCTTGAACTCACAGAGATTTGACTGCCTCTGCCTCCAGAATGCTGGGACTAAAGGCGTGCGCCACCAACGCCCTGTGGCAAGTATCTTCTTAAGTAGTTTGTCTCATTGCACTCTATCCTCTTTTCATTCTATACTACTACTATCTCTAGTAGAAGAACATATTTACAGCTTTGAAAATATGAAGTGCTGCTATGGAAAAGGGAATCGATCCTTTGTTTGCTCCTGTAGTTGATCTAATACAGAGGAGTAGAAATAATCACAGATCCATCACAGCCACCTCCTCTTGAACACTGCCAATGGCCCTGCACTGGGTGTGGAAGCTCTTGGGCCTGTTGCTGGTGATCTCATCTGGCTGTGCTTCCATGCGCTCCTGTGGTTCCACAGCAATCATCATCCTTCAGACACGACTTGTGTGGTGTCTGTTTAATAAAATGCTGGTTGGCCAGTAGCCAGTCAGGAAGTATAGGTAGAGATACCAGACTAGGAGAATTCTGGGAAGAGGAAAGGAAAAGACACAGTCACCAGCCAGACTGAGAGAAAGCAAGATGAGAATGCCTTACTGAGAAAATGTACTAAACCATGTGGCTAAAAGTAGATAAGAATTACGGGTTAATTTAAGTTGTAAGAGCTAGTTAGTAATAAGCCTAAATAATAGGCCAAACAGTTTATTGTTATTATAAGCCTCTGTGTGTTTATTTGGGACTGAAAGGCTGCAGGACGGGGCAGGACAGAAGCTTCTGTCTACACTGTGTCAGAAGAAGACTGTAGCAAATGCACTGTACAGTATGTTTTGTGACATGTGACTAAGCTAGAGCTGGTCTGCACTGCTCAGGTGCTCAGCTACGGAATGCCCTGGTGCATGGTCCTGATACTGACAAAAACTGTGTCGTGGACCACCAGGGGACAAAGGATGACTTTGTCATGCATGCCAGTGTATAATTCCTGAGTAAGACAAAGCAGCCTATCAGAACTGTATATAACAGTAAATGGGTTTACAACTTGCCAGGATTTCCTTGGCTGTTTTGGTTGACTTTCCATTGTCAGTTTGAATTGACTAAGTTAGCCCACAAAGCTGATAAAGCATTAATTAGCAAATGCATCAGTCATCTACAGACAGGTCACCCTTCCCAGTGTGGATAGACATCATGCAATACCAGAGGTGCCGGGAGAGGTCCAGAAGGATGAATGCAAACTTTGTTTGAGCTAGAATGTCTCTTCTCGGGTTCTTAGACACTGGCAATGTCAGTCTCTGGCCCCGAGACTCCTGCCAGGACTTACTCCAGTGGCTCCCCTGTGGCACACAGAATCTACAGGGCCAGTTATATCTAACAAATATATATGTATGGATGGATCTGTTCACAAATCACATCTTTGCTGATTGCTTATTTTACTCTGTTTACTGCGTAGAAATCTAAGTTAGCCTAATAACATTGCCGTGTTGCCACCTAGCATTCATCCCATGACCCTCTGCTGATCTTGTCCTTGTAAAGCAGATTTTGTTCTGCTCCCTGTCATATCATTGTGAGCTGTACCCTCAGTCCACTTTTGTTGTTTTGGTAGGTAAAGTGAACAAAAACAGTGGAAGTGGACAGAATCATTGGCATAAGTGAAGAACCTGGTCTTCCACCATTAAGTGTGACCTCAGGACACTGGGAAAGACCTTCTGTTTCTTTTATTGGATACTCTTTTCTTTTTCTCACATGCACGATGTAACATGTGCAAGACCTTGGAGCTAGTACTACAGTTACAGAACAAAACCAACCAACGAATGACCAGATAAGAAAAAAAATAATAAAGATAACTTAAGTGAGTCAAGAAATACACCATGTTTGTGCATCAGTTAATTTTTCAACTTTTTCCAAATTAATCTGGATAACCCACATGGCACCCCAAAGTCTCAGCAGTTTGTTTTATAGAAGTTACTGCTTTTGAAACAGATCAAAGTTGGAGGGCTTTCACTGGCTGAGGGCTGTTATAACCAAGGCAGTCCCCTGGAGGTGTGAGAATCCTGATGAAAACTGAAGGAATTGACTGAGGCTAGAATATAGACCTCCACAAATTTCATTTTTTATTTTCTTTTCCTATTTTGGTTTTTTGAGACAGAGTTGCTCTGTGTAACAACCCAGACTGACCTGGAATTCACTCTGTAGACCATACTGACCTTGTACTTACAGAGATCTTCCTGCCTCTGCCTCTGCTTCTGCCTCCTGAGTGCTGGGATCAAAGGTGTGTAACACCACCACTGAGCTTAGTTTCATTTTTTAAAAAGAGATACCAGATTACTTCAGGGCAAGAAATTATACTGTTCTTACCAAATGGCTGGGAACCTGATTCAAAACAAGGCAAAAAGCTCCTGAGCCTCTTCTTGTAGCACAAATAAAAACCGGTTTATGGTCAATCAGAAACCTAAATGTATCAGCTAGAACCTAAATTCATTTTTAAGTGGGCAAATATTTATGATTTTGACTTAGTTTAAAAATTGTAAAATGTAAGAAAAGGTATAAAAGGAAATAATGGTAAATTGCACTAAAATTTACAACACTTTTCTTTTAAATGATCTTAATGTTACTTAGATATAAGTTTTTAGCACTGACTGTTTGGCTCTGGGCAACCGATTGGTGTGCTTCTCTCTCAGCTTTTACTCAGTTGCCTGAAATTCTCTATGTAGGGTTGAGGCTTCCTGAATTTTCCTCCATTGAAGTACTTGAGAAAGACAATTCACCAAAGGATGTTTTTTTCTGAGTACAAGAAATACCTCCCAGCGTCACTAATCATTGAAGGACTGCACATTACTCAACCATGAAACACTACTACTGTACACTATTCCAGAGGCTGCAGTTTTAAGAATTGGTAGTTTTATGTATTGACAAGCACTATAGATCATCTCGAGCATTTAATGGTGATGGGAATAGAGGTCACACAATTTACAAGAGTTTTGACAGCTTCACCACTTTCCTCCTTTCTCTCCCTTGCTGTGTGGCTGAAGAATACCTTCAATTTCCAGTCTTCCTGCTTTATAGTTGGATACTTTTTAAAGCACACACATGCTGTGCCTGCCACCCAGCAATTCTTCTTGTTTATTTACTCATCACACTAAGACAAATATCTATACAAGATATACACACAGGAACATTATTCATAATAGCTGAAAGAGAGAAATAATTGAAATGTTCTTTAACTGATCATTTGATGAACGAAATGTGCTATATCTCAGCCAGTGAACTACTTCCTGGCAGTGCAAAGGATCAGAGTACCCATACACCCATCTCCATCCATAGGAGTCTCAGAGTCATTACATAGAAAAAGCCAGGCATGTTAGGTAGCATTGTGGCTCACACCTTTAATCCCAGCAGAGGCAGGGGTAGATGGATCTCTGTGAGTAGAGGCCAGCCTGTTCTAGATAGCTAGTTCCAGGACAGCCAGGGATACACAGAATAACCCTATCTCAAAATAGCGGGGATGGGGAGAGAAAGAAGGGAAGGATAAAGTGAGGGAGGGAAGGAGAGAGGGAGGGACTCGAGCCACACACAGAAGCCAGGGTCCAGTTTGATACTTATTGTATAAACTAGGAAAGGCAAAACTATAATTACAAAATGAGTCTGCGATGACTCAGAGCTACAGGTAGAGGAAGTACTCACATAACCTGCAAAGAAGTCAGGAGTGCTTTTGAACTGATGAAAGTGTTCTATATTCATGACGT